ATAGTTATTTTTAAAAGTCATATTTAAAAAACCCTAAACCCAATTATTGCACAATTTATTATGACATGGAAATCAAAATTATTTAGTCAATTTCTAAAAAATTGATGTGCATCAAGACGGAGATGGATATAGTGATATAGAAAAGATGGAGTTTGCATAACGATGCACATCGTATAATAGTTTCTAAGAGCGATATTAAAAATTTTGATATATTCAAAAGGAAACTTAATAGTTATGACTGGTTTATAGTATTTTCCGCTTTTTTAGGATAACGAAAGAGCAACAATCCGCCTGGATACCCGTGGAATTGCAGAGTTACAGAATTACTTTAGTTCACGTGCAGATGAACTCAAACTCGAAAAATGCGTCATATGTGGCAAATTCATAGTTGTGAAGAATCGCGCAGTTTTCTGCAGAATGTGTGGAAGTTTTTCTCACAGACAGTGCGGACTGAAGTTGGTTTCCTGAAGAATCATATATTTTGCTTATTTCTTTGAACTTTTTTTAACGAATAATTTCAAGATATAATCAAATTGGTAAAAAAATTCTTGATTCCGTAATGAAAAGGTAATTTAACAGACTTAGCTAGAACTTATTTTCTGAGTAGAACTCTTTAAGCTTTATAGTTTTATAGAAATATGTAGAATTGAATTAAACTTAACTTGATATCTTAAAAGTTGTGGAACACTCAAATTATAAGCCAGTGAAAATAGTGAATTAATCTTGTCTCTGTTGTCCTAGTAATTTTTTTTTTTTTTTTTTTTGAATATTTTCTTTTTGAGAAAATAGAGATTATCTAGTTTGTATACATAAATAAGACTTGTTTTTTTTTATGTTCGAATTCTTAATTTACAGAATGATAAAATCCGTAAAAACGAGAAAAGTACTATGTCCAGGTAAATTGGAAAATGGTGAATCATGTACTGCAGGATTTCATATATCTGTCGAAATTGAGAGTGTAAATCAGAACCAGAAAGGTTATTTTCATTATTTTTCACAGCAATAAAGATATATGTATTCCTTCAATGTGCTTTAATCCTTATTTATTAAAACAAAAGTAAAAGCAAGTGGAATTACATATATTGTTAACAAGTAGAGTTGGAATGTGAAGATTTCATATTGAGGTAGGGCTACCCCCAACAAAATTTGCTGATTTCGTTTATTTTTGGTTTAAGTATCATGAAAATAAGCAAAAAGAAGTGATTTCTTTGAATTTTATCCAGTAACTTCTGAAATATCGAAATTCGTTGGAAACTGATTGACTTTTTTTTTTTTGTCAGAACTTAATGTTAACTATAATAA